GGGCGGTATTTATCAAACTCCTATATGGGGGTCCTGTACAGGTCACAGCTCGTATAGGCGCGGACAATGGCGCCCATGACATATGAAGTCAAAGTGGTGATTGGGCTAGGCCCATTTTGGAATTTTAGAGAGAATCGAGCCAGCAGAAGTTGAAGTTCGAAGTTGCGGCGAAATCAGCCGGTAGCAGTAATGACGTCTTTGTCCAGTTCACCCCTGCAGGAAAACATTCGGGAAAGAGCCTCGGTCTGTCCAAACGATGTCGGAGAAGTACTTGACGTTGAGATTATAGACATAGTTTCATCGACTATAGCTGCAGACGTTGTGCGCAGGTACTACTTACGTGCTTCCGAAAATAGTGAGTAGAGGGCGGTGGTCCGTAAGCAGAGCAGATCGTTTATAGATTACCGGTTAAACTTTTTAACGGCGAGAATTAGGGAGGAACAACCCTTGCTTCCCAGTGTTCGAGTGGTTTTTCTCTGCTGCCATCAGGGCTCGTTTTGCATGGCAAAAGATTTTCTGCGATCCATCACCGAGGATAGCGCTGAGAAATCATGACTCCGATTCCGCGGTGTCTTGCGTCAGCGGCAACAATGATCGACTTTTTGTGGTCTTATCGGCACAGCAGAAGACCTAAGATTAGGAGATCGCGAAGGTGTTTTGATTATTTACTCCAATTTAACGGTGTCTTACTTCAAAACGTCCAAAGGTTGCGATGTGAATACCATTCCTAGGATGGTAGCGGCGTGATATAGGTGAGTGATGGCGGCATCGTTTCAAGGTCGAGCACCTTCCGCGTCGACAATGAATCCGAGTGCCATGCTGGCTTTGGCAGAAAGCTTTTTTGGAAATAAACATACATTCCGTAGTATTGAAGCCATGGAAGACTCGAGGTTTGCATTATGCCCCTAGAGAGGCCTTCGGCGACCACAAGAAGCGCATAGATATGCAACGACGTTGCTCATTAGCGACTGGAAAAATCTGGAAGCACTCTTCACGCGAAATAGTACTTGTAACGTAGGAATCCAAACAACGTGTTGAGGTCCTTGTCGTCCATTTCTTCTAGCAGATAGGCTTCGCGTAGACCGATAATGATGCTAACGGTTCCTACAGAAAGCTAATGAAGACGTCTTCCAAGTGTCGATTCAGTTCCTATGCATTGCCGTAGGTCAGTGAATTGGCACATACACCCAGTTTCGTCTTCTTCTTCGACGGAACTATGAGAGCTGCTGGGCCATTCTGTGTAATCATTGGTTGACAGTACTCTAGTAGTGACGAGGCGTACTAACTCTACGTTGACGGGTGGTTCTACGGCGAAGGGTGCCTTCCACTTTGCCAAATACTTGGACGTGGCCTCCTTCTTCAGAACAAGCTCTGCTTTTCGAATCTCGACGGCCAGCTCCTTAAAAG